ACGTTGAATTTGGAACATTCAAAGCGATATAATAAAAATACTCCAATGCACGGATTATATACGCAAGCTAATAATAGTTCATAAAATTGCCACATGAACTTTACTGTCTGATCATCTAAAATCATAAAATTCCCACATGAACTTTACTGTCTGATGGACACAACAAATAGCCCAATGTGGCTTTGCTCTAAAAAACAAACTAATTAAACAACGTTTGGAACTTCTGTGAAGCATTTGACGATGAATATTATAGCGATAAAAAAACTTGGAACTTTTTATCAGGTGTGCTTTTTTAACATTAAAAGAACAGCCTAAGGGTCGTGTTTTTTTCACAACTATTTATATATCTATAAAAACACGTGAATAATACAGGATATTAATCTATTAGGTTACTAAAATGAAATTTCTAGGTAATTTACAAAATTGCATGAACGTTTTCTGCGTTATACATTTTTTAGATGAAAGATATAAATATTTAAACGACTCGTAATCCGCCCCCTAGTGTCTGAAGGCTTATAACGCTAAAAACGAAGTTTCGATACGCCTACTGTGTAGCTTTGTGCTTTCAACTACAAACAATTGGTCATAATCCAGATTTGTATCAAGTTAGCGTAGTAATCTACTTTGATAGGCAATTGTATTTTACGAAAATATTATCGCTATTGTTACCCTAGGGCTTTTGTAACGTCTTGTGCAACTCCGCTTTGTAACATTCTCACGTGAAGCTACTCCTGTACCAGTTGAATTTTAGTTTATTTCTTTAGTACACAATTGCAAAATGGACTATTTAGTTTTATGTCCGCCGTGAGGATCGAACCTACATCTTGAAAAAACATCACTAAAGAGTAATTGAAAATTTAAAAAAAGTATTAGGAAGACAAACGATACGACGAATTCTAGGTTAAAATTTTATTTTATTGAAATGTTTACACGTGAGACATATTTTATGAAAGAAAAGTAGCTATTAATGATGTTCTTGAGAAGAGTATATATATGTGTACGTTGAACATAAAGTTAATACTTTAGCAACTATCCATTTATACAAGAGTAGAAACGCCGTCATATTAGAATGTTAAAGAAAGATTTGTAAATTTTACCTTTGTCGTTAAATAGCAGTTTCCTGTAGGCCAAAGGGGAAAATTCCCTTCACCGATATTTCATCAAATAATTATGTATAATATTTGTTGTTTAGAACAGCATTTAATGTCTCGTTTTGGTTGAAATGATCAGCTTAAGTTAAAAGTCCGTGAAATTATTTTCGGTAAAATTGTATTTGATGTTCTTTATATATTCGCCTCTCAATGGCTTAGCGGTAAGGTTAAAGGTTTACAACTCTAAAAATTGGGCTTCGATACCCTTGGTATGCACAGCGCAGATAGCCTATCGTGTAACTGCATGTTTAACAAGAAATACTTTAAATATTTTTGTTGCAATATTTATTTTCTGTTTCAAACCAGTAATAAGAATAGTTTCAAGAAGGAATTATTATTTCTCTGACTTTGTGTATGTGTTCTGATGTTAATAAGTATTAAGATGTCTGTATATTATTCATCATCAACAGTAGATTTGATCATAATACTTATAGTGTTATACTTCCAAATGTTAAGGTACAATTTTATGTTAATTTATGTCGAGAAGTAAACAGAACAGTCAACTGTATTAAATGGTCATTAATATAGAGACGGCTATGGAAGAAGTACCATGTTTCATGTGGAGATGTCTTAATTGTCTCATACTACATTTATATCCATAGTTCTATTCTCAACTCTAGGGCCTTGTTTCCCAGTTTGCAAACTATTTCGAAAAGAAAGAATATTCTTACCGTTGCTACAGTATTATGAAAAAGCTAATGCCCAGGTACCACTGGTAGAAAACATTACGTTATATTTTGTTGCAAGCATGCGCCAGAGTGGTCAGGATTCTTTCTAGGCATTTTATACTGTCCTTAAGTACAGACTTATTTTTGTATATTTTAAGTTTTAGTTATTTATATTTTTTATTCGTTTGATACCATAAACTATTCCCAGCACTTTAAGCTTTGAGTGCGTTATAAGAGTGGCAATCAATCCATTAGTATAAAATAGTGAACGGTAGGGTGTTGCCCACCGTCTGTCTTCCTTCCTTCTGGTCAGTACTTCAAAATTAATGGCAGCTGATAGCCTTAGTATCTTTCATATAAATAAAAAAATCAAATAATTTTTTTGGTCATTCAAGTCTGCAGACAGATATCTGGTACCTTGAAGTTTTAAACCCAGATATAACGTCTAGCATCGTAGAATGAAGCTAGATTTTATATAAAAAAAACACCCTTTGATGTAATGTTTACGACAGATTTAGCTTTTGCTGTTAAGGTAAAAGCTAACAATCTAATTTTAAAGAGGTGTCTAGAGGTCGTGCAACTCTAATATTTTGAGCAATTAAATGTCTTCACTACATAGCTGTATAACACATTATACATCACAGTAACACCCAGTGACAAAACAATAAATGTCTTCACTACAGAGCTGTAGAACACCTTATACATCACAGAGACACCTAATGACAAAACAATGTCTTCACTAACAGCTGTAGAACACCTTGTACATCACAGTAACACCTAATGACAAAACAATGTCTTCACTAACAGCTGTAGAACACCTTGTACATCACAGAGACACTTAATGACAAAACAGTAATGTCTTCACTACAGAGCTGTAGAACACCTTATATATCACAGTGACACCTAATGACAAAACAATAAATGCCTTCACTAAAGAGCATTAGGATACCATATAAATCATTTCGTGGTCAAAAGACTTTAACTTCATTCGAACACCTTATAAATCATAGCAGCATCTCGTGTTCAAACAATATTTAACTTCACTTGAACACCTTACAAATCATAGCAATATCTCGTGACCAAACGACCTTTAACTTCACTTGAGAACCTGACAAATCAAAGTAACTTTTTACAATCAAGTTACATGTCGATAAAAAAAATCAATCACGTGTGGTTATAACCATAAACTAAAAAGCTCTTTATTTAGCTTGAAAACATTTCATTGTGTGTTTTTCATATAGGCTTCTTGGTGACTTAGCTATAAAGTGTGTACTTATAACGCTAAATATCTGGTTCGGTACCCGTGATGGACACAGTGCAGATAGTCCATTGTGTAGCTTTTCGATTAACAACAAGCAAATTGTTACATATTTTGAAAAGTTACGGTTTAAACGCCAAAAAAACAACAACAAAAAACGTCGAAATATTGGAAAACTAATAGCTTATTGGACAGTGACTTGTGCGACACAAATGAAACATTTGCAGTTAACTTGTTTTTATAACAAAATTTCACATAGTTTATATACTTATAATTTCATGAAAGAAATTCATCACTTCTATGATGTTTGAGTATTATTAACTTTTGTTTGATCATGATTAAATTGTTTATTCTAATTCTATTGTAAACGATTTTTCTTTTTTAATATGAATTATATAAAAATTTCTAAACGTATTCAAAACTGTTTCACTAAAAATCCATACACTCATAAACATTGGCACTAGAAAACTATTTATTTAAAATTTATATTAACCTATACATAAATGTGTTTTTTTTTAATATCTCAAACAAACATTAATTAGAAAGATATCTTTTAATAATACTAAACCATCATACCAATTGAATAAAAATCAACATTTGTAAATACTGTATAAATTTCAAAAATCTTGGTTTTCAAAATTCATCGTATACCTCAACCACGCCCTAAAATAACGTTACGAATAATGTGGTTGATTTTAATTTTCAAAGTTTATATAACTCAAAAACTGGCGAAGCATAATCCTTATTAAGACGGCAAGTATGATGAAACCGTACAAATTGAACCGAAATGTTTTAAACGTTTCACTCTCTATATATTATATATAAATGTCTCACACATGGCTGACTCTGATTATTGTTATTCATTCTTTTTTAATGTTTATACCTCCTCAGAGAGACATACTGTTTTTTTATTGTTTCTTCTTCTTCCAAATACGTTTCAATCGACCGCCATTCCTTCGTTTCGCGGGCGGATTCACTTGAAACTTGATAGGATTATACCTTGGTTCAATATGCTCAAACAACTTTTTCATTTTTTGATTTAGGCCTTTTTATATATTGTCATCTTATGCTGTCATGTTTACAGCAAGCAATTTAAAAATTAGCACAAATTAAATTTTAATGCGTCCAACACATTGGTATAGAAAAATTGAATTTGCCTATTTTGAGTCTTTTTAGGGGGAGTTAGAGCTCACAACAAAGCATAATTTTGCTGTATTTTGACCGATTTGCATCAGATTTGGTACAAAGATACTTTTCTAGAAGCAACACGCATCGTCGAACAAAAATGGTGGACTTGCCCATTTTTAGTACATATAGGGGGACAAGATACTATAAAAGTACAAGTTTAGGGGTTTTTTGACAATTACTCCGCCGTATTTCAGCTAATTTACATGGGATTTGGTACAAAAATACTTTTTACTGGTCTCATACAGACATATAAACAAGTTTGGAATTTTTGTCTTTTGCTCAATTTTTCAGCTAGAAAAGCACAATTTGAGGTTTTCATGAACTATTCATGTGTATGTCAACCAACGTACATGGGATTTGGTATAAAGATACCTTTTTGCAGGTCCCAAGCAGTGATGTAGACAGTTTTCGATTTTTCTGTGTTTTCCACGATTTTTCTGGTGTTAAAATTGGCCATGTTGAGATTGCATGGCGGAGACATGTTGCATTCGCCCGCGAATGTTGGTCTCTTGAATTTTGTCGATTTTAATAAATATTGCGAATTATTTAAAACTAAGGTTTAAAAACTCTAAGAAAAGTTTATATATTATACATTTTTATTTTTCATATTAATTATAAATGTATCAATATGATAACAATTATTCACACGAATATATATATAATAAAATCTCGCTTTGATCAAGTTATACTGTTTTTCTATTCATCAAAAATTTATATATAATAATACTCGTTTGGTTCTTCTACTACTGTCTTTTTATTTAAATATCTAATTCTGCTTATAGGAATATAACATAGCTTACATATACAGGATATGATCTCTTACTGAGAGTGATAGACAGAAGGACAGATTGTTTCTTGTAAAATATTAAAAAGGGAAGGTTTCTATTTATACATTGTGGAGTGATATGAGCCTTTTCATGTTGCCAAGTTACAACGATGACATTTATCGAAATATTTTACTTGGCTGCAGATGTCGGCTTATTGGAGTACATGGTTGGTGGTGTATAGAAAGGAGGTGGTGTGTCTCGAGTGAAGTAGGCTGGGGGTGGAGTGTATCCAGGTGCAGTTGCTGCTGTGGGTGGAGTATATCCAAGTGCAGTTGCTGCAGTGGGTGGATTATATCCAGGTGCTGTTTGGTCAGAGCTACGTGCTTCAGTAGACGACGGGGAGTTCTTAGAAGCCTTAATTTCTGGTACTTTAGTGAAATTGTTGGTGTCATACCTTCGGGAAATTAATGCCTCTTCCGATCCAAGCAGGGGGACTTGGATTATTTTCTTGTCGTCACAATTATCTCGTAGCAGGATGTATTTGATTTTCTTTCTATCAGTCTTTTTAAAACAAATACAAAGGTTCAAACAACATCCCAGGAGAATCAAAAAAATTAGTGGGACCAGTAAAAATGTACCAATGTATAACAGAAGTCGAGGCTTACAAGACAGTAAAACATTAAAAGTCACACTTCCAGCGTTTGGTTCTGGTGGGGCGTAAAGCATTACACGATTTGAAGAGGCGAAGGACAATGTGACGTCACATTGAGAGCTTTTAGTACAAACCGTATTTGATTGGTCAACTTTGTAGCTTGTTCTTTTCAAAGTAACCGACAAGTTGATTTGGTTGATGCTTTTACGGTGGAAGTTTTTAACAATAACGTAATAAACATCGCTTTTTTCAATATTCACACTAATACTTTTCTCGTTACATCGTGTTGGAATTTGACGCGATGCTTCAGCATCCTGACAGCGACGAAGATATACAGGGAGGACCTTTTTAATTCTTTCCCATTTCTGGAACTTTTCGATTATTTCAGAGAAATCAAAGTCATTTTTAAATCTGTCTTCGGAGTCTCGAAAACTGTCATCATCGTCTTCATTATCAAAGAATTTGCTTGTCGTTCTTCGTAAACACCGTATCAAATTACGGTGTCCCTTTGTTACGTAGACGTAGGCATCTGGGTTACTGCTGCAAGCTTTGATATGTAATTTAGATCCAGACAGCATGTAGTAACGTAGAACCTTTTGTTTTTTCCAAGTCATATGAATACTGTAGTTAACATTATGAGAATGGTAAACCTCTTGATCTATTTCTGGCTTCTTGTCGATCCGATAGGTGTCCATCAAGTGGTCGGAGACAACGAACTGTTTTCTACACCACACGGTGGAGACATCATTAGCTACTTGTATGTCTGTGGATGACATCCGTATTCGTTGCTCTGGTAATTGCGACATTAAGAAGTATAAGACGCCTAACATCACCATGAGAAAGAAGATCAGCATCCCCAATTTTAAGCAAATGGCTTTACAATCAGCCATCTTGAACTCTACAAAAAGAAAAGAAAATGTAATGTTCAACCAGATTACATTACATTGGTCAAAGTAAATGAAGGGTTATAGCCAAACAGGAATCTTTACAGAGAATAACCTTGGTTAGAAAAGAACCGGAAACAGAAAAATATACATTTAAGCATAAATCTTTACATCCAACTATCTTAGTCACTAAAGACAAGAAGTTCTACTGAAACAGGCAATCCTTTACATTCAACTATCTTAGTCACTAAAGACAATAAGTTCTACTTTAACAAGCAATCCTTTACATTTAACTATCTTTGTCACTAAAGAGGAGAAGTTCTATTTAACAGGCAATCATTTACATTCAGCTATCTTAGTCACTAAGGATAAGACGACGTTCTACTTAAACAGGCAATCCGTTACATTCAACTATCATAGTAACTAAAAAACAGGAAGTTTTACTGAAACAGGCAATCCTTTACAATTAACCACAAATCTATTCCGTTAAACTAACACATGAAAATGTGAATGAAAAGTTACTGAATATACGTTTTGGCATCATACTAAATAGCATATTGGGAACTAATCTTTAAAAACATAATATATTTGTTTCCGGTTGTAATGGGTATTAAAATGGTAAAGTTTTAATTTACTTGATATCAGAAAGTGTAAGTTCTAATAAGCTAAAGTTTATCACAAACTTAACCCAAGCTTACACAAATCATCGGTTTCCTTATGTTTGTAAAAGTAGTTTGGGGTATTTTATAAAGCTCGTATATACGTGTGTATGAAAATAAATATCCTCAAAAACTTATGTCATGATCTTATTCTATGAAGAACCTATTTTTGCAATATTTAGTTCCTAACTTTGCATCAGATCCGACGTGGTGAAATATATGATGTCATATGGTTTATCTGATTGTGGAAACCTACTGTTATTTTGTACTGTATCCCAAAGTAGGAATTGAAATGTTTATAATTAAAGTTTCTTTCATGGGTTATTTTCATACGATGACATAATACACGTAGTTGTTCTCAGTGTTTATTGCATTCATGATACATTTTAGCTCATTATCATTGAACAAGTAGTTCATTATTAAAAATAAAGACTAACCGTCAAAGACCACATGATTTTATATTGGGGTTGAGCTTATTTTATTGTTGTTTACAATTTACCACAATGACATATGACAACCAAACTAAAAATACAAGATAAGTAAAAAATGGGGAATTTAAAAACCTGCAAACAGGGATCGTGAAAAAGTAAGCAAACAAGGCTGGATATACTGTAAACATTATTTAATCAAACTACAAACCCCTATTTTGGCTCCATGCTGTTACCTAGAATTACATTTGGTGGTGTTAAAATAGGAATTCGTAGTTTGAGTAAGTAATGCCTACAGCATCTCCAACCTTGTTTGCCTACTTTTTTACAATCCCTATTTGCAGGTTTTTAAATTTCCAATTTTTTCATCTTGTTTGCTGTTTGTTTGTTTTTTATTCTCAACTATAGGCAAATAATTACTTGATATGGTAGGTAACTTGATACACTGTAATGATAATAAACGTAGCTAGGAGCTAGCTGATACGATTCATGATGATTTATTGTATCTATTAACTATTTGATCGCATTACTTCAAGACGTAAAATGGTAAGCTGCAACTGGAGATTTGTTTGAGAATATAGTGAGCATTTCTAGTTTCTGCGTAACTAAATTCTCTTGATATATAATGCATAGTAATGGGTAAATACATGCCTAGACTAAGACACAACCCCCAATAAGCGCGTATAAAATTTTAACAGTAGAAAAGCAGCCTTTTCAAATATAATATATACGTCTAAAACATTGCTTTAAATAAATTTTCGTGTCTTTTAAACTAATTATTCTCGAATGTGTGTAGTAAAATTTAAGATTATGTGTATTGATTTTTTTACTCCTTCACTTCATACATAATATA